TGCTAGCAGTGATGTTCTTCTCTGCCATAGGCTTACTTGGGGATGGTTCTTACTCCTCTCACCATTTTCTGTCCTTCCTTGGGCACTATACTGATGGGTAGAGTATGTTTCAAGGAGACTCAGTGGTGTGCCCTGGAGGTTGGTCACACACAAAGCCACCCTCCATCATTTATGAAAAAACCCAGCAACATTAGCAGCTGGACAAATTGCTTGATCCAGTGGGTACTGAACTAATAACCTGAAATTTTTAATTAGGTTCATAAATCAGTATGAGAATTAAGAGGAGATTAATTGATTGTATACTGTGGTTTACATCCTAAACAGAAATTAATAGAAAATAGGTGCTTATTCCTCCAAGTAGCAACTGTAAAGTCATGATTTGGAACTCCTATTATGCCGATGTTTTATGGAGTCCTCACCAGGTACCTTAATTTAATTTTGCTTATTTTTCAAAAAATATTACATAACTGGTCTATATTTATAAGTGCAACCTAAAAATTAAATAATTGTGTGACAGTCAAGACTGTTTATCCTCAAAGGCTTTGAAGAACTTACTTTCAATCAATTTCCATTAGAATTTTACCTACAACAGGAAAAACTCTTAACCAAGCAGAAACTGTTATTCAGAAGGATAACTAAACAACACAGATGAACTAATATGCTCATTAGTTTTACCCTGTCAGATACAGCAAATAGGGCAATGTGCAGTGATGTTATATATATGGTTATTCCATTATACATGTCATTTATAAGAAGTATCTCTAAAGAATATATTGTTTCTAATTTTTTGGGAAAGGAACCCAAAAGGACCACTTCATTTGATACCCACAGTTGGAACTAAAAACCCTTAGAAAAGGAAAATTCAGCTCAATTAAATCCTTTTAAAAGCTTACAAAGAGCAATACTATTGAAAATTATTAATCCATTTTTTTCTAGGATCTGTAGATGTATAAAGTTTGGAGAAGTACATTGCCAGGTTCTTACCACATGTAGTAACTACATTAGGCATCTACTTATCTCTAATTAATGACTTCTACATCACAGAGACCAGCATTTAAATTCTTTCTCCATTCAGTGAAGAATAATAAAGTATTCATAGTGATGAGCATTAACAGATACATGGGCCTGAGTTGAACTCAATTACTTGAGTGCAATTCTATTTCAATTACTTGAGCGTATCCTTCTGAGAGTGTACAAAAATTGTCTTCTCTGGGTAAAGCCATGGTACTTCACCAATCCTGAAGGAAGTCTTGTATGTCTATCTGTTAGAGAACATTAAATTTGACATATTAATCCATCTCTAAATTCCACGAGTACTTCAAAGCCCATTAGATTTCTAAGTTTTTATGCTCAATTTTATTTAAACTTTGACTTTTAAAGCCTAGGTTTCATACTAGTTGCTTTCTTCATCCAAGTACAAGATTCTCCCTACTGTGCAGACTTCAGCAATCCTAAATCTAGTCCCAAGAGGTTCTGAGGGAAAACTGGATTCCTCTGAGAAAAGGTGATTAACCTCATTTATTTAATATTGGACTTGTTTTTTCCTTTAACAGATGGTGACCTTCTCTAACTGCCAGGAATCCTCATGCACGTGCTGACCTGTAACTAGTCATTTATTCCAGGGAAAGTGTGCAATAGTTTCACTCTCCACTTTATCCTGGCTGACCTACAAGGTTTTTCTTAATGTTCCTACTCACTGCAAACTAGACATATGACCATATGACAGTGACCTCAGAAGCCAACCACATACTCTGTTAGACAAACAATATGTTTTCAAGATAAACATAATGGTGGATCAAAGCATGAGTTTTTCCAAAAAGGGACATGTTAGCTTTATTATTTGTTATGCAATCATACTCAGTTTGTTGCATTGCTGATTTTCTTTCCCTTGTGTTTTAGTTTTCATCTGTATTTTATATATCCATTAAAAAACACCATATACTCACTCCAGCAGAGATTAAATGTCTAAAAGATGGATTTAAGTTCATGATCTTTCCTATTTCTATATAATTACATTGCCTTCCATGTTGCAGTACAGGTCTCAAAATAACTCCTCAGTTCCCCGCAATCAAAACTTTCAAGCTAGTTCAAGTTCCAGGAATTCAGTCTACAGAGAGCTCAAACTAAACAGACTCTGTCCCAGTGAAAATCAGGCACTTTTCCAAAAGGTGATAATGGATAGACACCAGATGGCTGATAGAGGGGAAAACAAATCTCCTGGTATGTGCCAAAAAAAAAAAAAAAAAAGAAAAAAAAGAAAAAAAAAAACAATAAAAAGGCAAAATGAAAAGTGGATTAAAAGATTGGCAGCAAAGGAAAATAGTAAAATGCAGTAAAATGTAAGGCTAGGGTGCTTCCGGGCAGATGGAACAAGCCAAAAACAGAGATGAAGGACAACAGGATGCAGGAATTCTCGAGGACAGGGTCAGGTTTCAGTGGCAGTGTGCAGCCCGACAAACAGCTGAGAAGGGAGGTAGGAAATGTTCCGATAGCCCTGCCCTGACAGCAGAGGTTCCAGCCCCTGGAATATCGCAGAGGGAGTAGCCAGGTTAGAGCTGGGCAGCCTGGGCACGCTGCGGGCTGTCCGGGAGGAGCAGCAGAAGGGGCACAGGCAGCCCTGAGCAGAGCAGGGCTTTTCCCTTTCCCGGGGCCAGAGGCTTCGTGGCAGCACTGCAGGTGCCGGGACAGGAAACCAGACTGGACCAAGCCATCCCTCCCCCTTGCCCCGCAGGCAGGCACAGCACCTGGGGGAAAGCATTGCCCCGCCTGCCTTATCCACTCCCGGCACCGCTGTGGTTTTTAGCTGTTCTGCATTTTTTTTTAATTGCGTGCTTTCACTTTAAAGCATAGCTTTGGAGTTTAAAAGGCTCCATTGGTTTTTGTTTGCTTTCAGAGAAATGCAGCATGGGTAGCCTCAGAGCTTGATGGGGAATTCATCAGGGAAGAGAGGTAGCATCTGTTGGGGACAACCCAATAACTCTATTGAAATAAACAAGATCTTTGGAAATATCATCCTTAGATTCACTCTAAAATAGTCTGTCAATATGATTCAGGAAAAAAATCATAAGATACATGAGCTGAGCTGGCTCCCAGTGCAACTACAGGTAAATTTACTAGATTCAGTTGCATTCCCACTTTAAATGTTCAATAGAGTAAACAGAGTATCTGCAGAGTAGGGATAAATTATTATCCCAGAAAATAACTAACTTTACCATGCTTAGAAACTCTGAAGTAGCTATGCAGTTGCAGATATCTGTGCTGATTTGAAAATCAAATTCTCAAAATAAATAGAAGAACAAGAAAGGCCACAGATAGCACAAGCCATTGCATATTTCAAAGGATCCTCCTACTTTCATTAAGATTAAATAAATTTATTAGAGTTAGTGGATTTTTAAAAGAAAAGGCAAATTTGTCCAGTATTTCTTCTGCTATTAAGTGTTTCTAAAATATTGCACTTAGAAGCTGCACATTCCATGTACCTTGGATACCACCTTTAACAAAGACTGTAAGTTCTCATATTTCAAACTACCCTAAAAACACATATGTATAAGCCAGTTCATTTAAATCAGTCAGTGTGAAATCTAAATATGGTTAGGCTTCAGAATTGAAAGGTGCCAAAGTACGAAATTTCCACAGCTGTAAACAGTAAATACCTGAAGTGGGGAGAGTAAGAATGCATGAAACTTTCAGTTGAATGTGTTTTACATTAATGTACACAAATCAAATGTTTTGTGAACAATTTAAGAAAGTGGATGAAGGAACGAAGCAATATAATCCAGTAAAGTAAAGCATGCATACCCTGAGGCAGAAGTGGTTTTAGTTTTCTTGTCATAGCGCAGCATTTTGTTGTGTGCTTGTAACAAGGTAGGGGACACTAGAAACAAGGAGCTAAGCAAAATTCTATAAAGTCTTTGTAGATATTTCTGTTGCTAAAAAAACAGGTGTCCTTTTAGAGTCAAAATCCATACACTTCGAAAAAGTTGTAATTTTCCTGAAACCCTGTGAAAACATGGGTTTTCACAAAAACCCTGAAACCCTGTGAAAGCATGGGTTTTCACTTTTCTCTCTGTTCTAACCAGCAAAGTATTTCCGTGCCTTTTCCTGTATGCAAATATAGTGCAGATTGCAGACAATGTATACTTGTAGCACTGCTTGTTTTACTGCTACACTCAAGAATCCATTTTCATTTGAAACCACATTTTTCGTCATTCTTTTTTTCCTTAGCTCTGAGCTAAAGAATTTAGAAATGAGGCTACAGTGTTCTCAGGGCTGGGAGTTATCCACAAATCCAGTCCTGTCATTCCCAAACAAGGAGTCCGGGGAGAATCTAAACACTCAAGATTTTTTTTAAACCCTTTGCAAGATCATGCTTCATACTTAAAACAGAGACAAAAATGCATCTGTAGACAACCTGCCACCCACTGACTGAGCTTTTCAGAGTTCAGACATTATAAAGTGTTTTCTTCATCTATAAAGTGTTTTCTTCAGGAGAACTAATTTTAATTAAATGTTTGGTTCCTATCTTTGCCCTTTGGGTTATATATGCATGTATTCACTCTTCTCACAAATAATTTCTGCATTTCATTTCAGGTTCATACATTGTTGATTACCTAATTACCAGTAGCAAAATAAGCAGCTTGAACTATGTATTTTTGAGGGAATTTGAAATCTTTAGAAATAGGGTAAGATGGGCCCTTTCCAAAAACTGGCTTGGGATGATCACCTCCGTACTAAAATCTTGAACTTCAGGTGCTGTACCTTACTGCACCATTTAATTAGAGAAGCAAAAACCAGTGGTTTCCATCAAATTTCTTGTAACTTCTTTTTCAGTTGTTCTGAGACTATATAGCAGGAACTAGAAGTTAGATAAATATCAAGCTTTCCAATATATTTCTGTATACCTTTTTGCCACTAAATTAAATATGAAGTGTTCTTTGTTAGCAGCCCATTGGGAAACAAGGTAAACCACAAGAACCTCTGTCTATTTATACAGTGATTTTTTTAATAACAAAAAGGCTTATTCCTCTTATGTTTTACCTTTCGCAAATCACACCATTTAATCATTACATTTTCAGACTCATCACCTTGCTGTGTCCTCCTGTCTAACAGACTGATAAGAGATTGTGGGCCCAGAAAAAATTTTTCCACATTTTTCAAGAAGCTGGGCAGAACCTCATGTGAATCTTCTTGCAGGATTACTTTGAGCTGCACTATCCAGCATTGGCTACCCAGAAGGCAACCCAGGGGTCATGACACATGCTTTGCTGGTCAGTATATAGAACTTTCCATCCTATCTTGGTGCTTTTCACACTTCAGGGTGTCTCTGCTGAAAGCCAATGGTCTTTGATCTCTCACAGCTCTGCCTTTCAATGATGTGTAATTTTAGATACAGTGGAAGTAAGCCATTGACTTTTTTTTTCTCCTTTTTTGAAGAGGGCTTCTCACATGTTGTTTACACTCTCTGTGAGCCTTTGGAGTGCTTCTTCTCCACTGAGAGGAACATACTGTTCACGTGCACTCTTTCTCCTGCTCATGTTTGTGTTGCCTGGAAAAGACCAAGTTTCCCTAACTGAATTATGCCATGCACTATAAATCACATTTGTGTCCCATTTAAAATATAAACCACAACAGAAACAGAAGAACAAAAGGAACAACACGCCCAGCTTTTTTTGACAAAACTCCCACACATTGATAATTAGAAGCACATAAAACCATACACAAGCTAGGAGAGCTTGAGCGGCTGTCATGCCTCATGCTGTCTGTCTCAGCCTCCTCCACTTTCAATTCTGCCACAAAATTGCCTGGAACAGTAAAAGGGCAGGAGAAGATTAACATAAACAATCTGTGAAACAATGGAGATTAAAATAATAGTAAAGATTGCCTGACAAGTGTGCTTTCATGAGACTCTGGGAAATCTTTGCTTTAATTAATTATCTGCACTTGTCCATGGGATATCTGAAGCACTTAAGCACTAAAGGAAGAACAGTGTGTTTTAAAAGCCATCTGTAACACAAATAATTGTTAAAAATGTTTTAAGTAACTTGGTGCATAGGCAATGTGGATAGAGGATTCTGGCTACATATCTGTTTTATATTTTGCAATGAGCATTATTGGCCCTACAGACTTGAACCATAATCCTATGAGCTCACATGTGTAATTATTCCCACTAGACTGAGCAGAACTCTTTGAGGGACTGGATTGTGTAGTTTGTCATAAATATTACCAAATTTAATTAATAGCACTCACTACATATTTTTGCTGCTGTTGCAGGGCTCTGTACATTGTGCTTAGGATGTGTAAGGCATGGTGAATCTATATGCTTCATACATCCCACTGCTCTTTAACTTCTGAAACCCCTAAGGAGAAACCAAACATGTTAGATAAGTGTCAAAAGAGAAATAATGGTTTGAAGAGCTAAAGGATTTTAGCCAGGGGCATTTAACAGATAAAAACAAAGTTCAGTAGAAGATTAGAACTCTTCATTCTGCACACAGTATCTCATAATAGATGGCAGTCCCTACTTCGCTCTAAGATTTCACAAAATGTGTGTATTACAGCAAGTGAGGCACATGGCAAAGAGGTGAAGAACAACCTTATTGATCTCAGTAATGTAATGTTAAATATTTTATTAGTCTAAAAATTACCAGCACTGAGCAATCTTATTTATCAGCTTAGATCATTTTGGCACCCAATTTTTCACAGTGAAATATATTTATCTTCCATTAGTTATACCCTCTAAATCAGGTGAATAATGATTGATAGGACATAACCATCCTTAAAATAAAAGGTGTCATTCTGTAAAGTCCAATTTTTTTATGTTTTTTCATCTTTAGATTTGCTGTTAACAAATCTAAAAATAGTTACTTGCTACTACTCATCTGTGTCAGTTTGTTATAGGTGTTTCACACAAAGCAGTGGAGATGCTGAAAGTTAAGTAGCTATATTTGCTAATTTTTCAAATGCTACTGAAAAAGACTTTCTTATCCTGAGGTAATTAATTGCCTTTTGGCCATTGAAGCTGTTCATGATTGCAAGCCTAAAAGGGCCTGCTATATTGCAAGAAAACAACAGCCACATAAAACCGTGGAACATTTTACCACTATGACATCAGAAAATCCAGAGTTCTTTGTTCATAATTCAAAGAAACAGATAAGAACACCAGAGGAAAAAAGCAAAAACAAACTCTTTTAAACATGGAATTCTGAGAAAGACGTTCTTGACTTCAAGTGTCAAGTAAATTACGAAGAAGAAATTATTGTTCTCTTTAGTTGTCTAAAAGAGGATACAATGACTTATACTTTATCTCCAGAAAAATTGATGTCATCATGAGTTCTACTACTTCTTTCAATAAAACATTTTGTTTTCCAGCTATTACTTTCTTTTCCTCCTGCCTTTACTTCATCCTAATAGTTAAAGTTTATGAAGAGATTTATATAAAGCATTACTCAAGATTTAAAATATTTTAAAGCATAAATAAAATATTTGTTGTATCTGAATTTGTTCATGTGCCTTCCAACAAGAATAAATTGTGGTTTAAATTTTCTAATTGACAGCTATCTTATACTATTAATGTAGAAATTGATCACAAAAGAATGATGCTCTATTAACGTCAGTCTGTAAATTGCAATTAAACTTGCACAAAACTGAGACAGGATATGTGCTCTATATTTTTTTTCCTAAGAAATCTTTTTGAAATAGAAAGAATTATCTAAAATTAAAAAAAAAAGGATAATTCTTCTCCTTTCTCTCTGGAATAAGGACAAAATCTGTAACCCAACATTTCCAGCTTTTCATAGTGGTCTATGGAATTGCAACTTTTGAGCATAATACCAAATGCTATTTTCAAACATTTTTGATTTTTTTTTAAGAAACAATGAACAAAAACTGACACATATATCTGCATATCCCAATTCTGCATAGCTTTTAATAAGGAGTTTTCATGTTTCTTTTGCTACCTGTTTTATTCCAACTTTTCCATTAGCAACATTTTTTAATTGATTTAACTGTATCTTAATCTTTCTCCAATTTATTGTTATATTATAAAGGAATTATAACTATACTGAATTATACTAGTAAGTAAACATTATGTCTGTTTTCTACTTTCACTTCTCCCAGTGCTTCACACTTTCTAGAGTTCAGGGTGGTACCCAAAATACAATCTTCACAAATCAAAGCTGCTTCATATAACCAATATTCAAAGGTCAGCAGTGTTTGATTTATTCTACATTTTTTCTTTAAAATTCCCTGTAATTATGTAGATACTGATGAAGGTAGCTGACTTTAAAATCACTGCAAATGACATAAATCTTTTCAGTTTCTTGAAAAAATCATTTTAGTTGCAAATGATAAAAACCTGATCAGTTGCAACTAATAAAATGTGAGCTCTCAGAGCTCACATTTGGGTCTTCCCATATGCCAAAAAGGAAACTGAAAGCAGCCTTTCAGTAATTATTTGAATAAATGTTGAATGGAATTTTTTCCTTAATGATAAACTCAGCTGGCCATTTCCATGTTTTTCTTAACACAAAATGAGACACAGAATCCTGACCTGAGAATGGTAACTAAGAGGTTCCTCATTATGTGATCAGTCATTCATTTATGGAAATAAAATTGAAAGAATATTTTAATTACCTATACAGTAGACACTTCCATCCAGTGAAACTGTTCACTGAGGACACAGGTGTGCACATTATATTCTACAATTTGCTGTATTCAACCTACATGTTCAATTTTGCATGAAAATGATGATGTTATGTTGATTGTTTATAACTTTCATTTTAAATTTAATATGAATCTATGCAATGCTACTTGAGACTGTAATTTTTAATTTTTTCTATGACAGAAGGGAGAGAAAGATTTTTTTTCCTTCTATTTAAAAGTGTTGGGAAAGGAGGGAATTAGAAAGCCAAAGTAGTGAAGGTTATATACAATTAAAAACCAAATCATTCATATAGTTCAGTTGGCATCCAGAAAGAAAAATTTAGTGAGACGTCTTGAAGCATTTAAAATAATAATTTTAACTCTGAGGCATTCTTATAGTATCCATACTTAAAAAAAAAAAAAATAATAAAAAGGAGTACAAATTCTTTTCCTCCATTCTGGTTTTCATATCACCTTAATGTGTATTATATGTACTGTAGGTGTTATTTTTAGGTCAGCTGCCTGATACTCTATTCTAGGGGCTTTCTGTATGGGTCACAGAGGGTTCAGGAATAGACATACACTGCTACTCTGCTGCATGTGTAGAAAGTGTCTTTCCCAAGGCCTTTTATTCACAGAAACAACATTTGAACTGTATAAGACATTTTGAAGGTTTGTTGTTTGTTTTGGGATTTTCTTTTTAAATTTGTAACACTCTGCTTATGAAAGTTTTATTTGTCCCTGCTTTGTTTTCTCTCTTTTGTAAGCCAAGAAGCCATGTTGGCTAGAATTTAATTAGCGTAACTTCCCGGCTCAAGAGTAATTGACCCTGGAAACAAAGTTAAAAATCCTGGTCCAGCAGAGAACCCATACATCAGGACTGTTTCAGTTTAAGTGTTTCTCACCCTTCACAAGCACAGGGACCACATGAGACGATGGAAACCGTCTGCACATGTTTCATAAACTTGCCAAATTATTCAACTCAAAACTTGGTAATTACATGTAGCTATTTCTGGCCACTTAAGCAGAGGCTTCTCGCAAACAGATTTCATAGGTCTTACGCCTAGATGATTGCCAATGACACATCTCTGTCAGAATTTTCCTTCTTCTCTGTCTATTATACTGTACTTCTGTCTATTGTCCTCTTGGCAAAATAAAGTATCCTTCTCAAAATCTCACTTGATCAGAGCTTCTGTAAACACTATAGAAAAATCAGCATGATTACCTGGTATGGCTGCTTCCCCTTCTGCCCAAATACTCATCTCGGAGCTGCTGCCCACATAAGCTTTCTATAAGTTTTGCTCACCACCACTGTTAGAAACAGATTGATTAGAACCCTTCAGCTGAGGGATGGATTAGGAAAAGCTTTTACAACTGCTCATTTCAAGTGCCATGTTTTTTGAAAGCAGCTCATTCGTTCCATCTAGCCAGGATTAAAAGCCAATCACAAGTAAGCCAAGTAAATGGTAGCCAAAGCATAAATCATCATTACATGCTGGCAGCTGGCTGCAACTACATGACAACTATTCACAAACAGGATGCTTGGTGCCCTTTTATGTGGATCTTGTGTTCTTTGCACATGTTTGTTCCACATGAATTGTTCCCTCAGAAATACAGGGAGAGAACTAAGGTGATGAGAGAACAATAAAATAGCTCATTGTCTCCTGCTGCCTTTTACTCTTGGACAAAGGACCTTTTTGTTCATGGATAAATTAAGATTTGCCAAACTGTTACAGAGATAAGCAAAACCTGCACTATGTCCTTCAGACTTGATACACAAAGCATAGATGTTCTTGAGTCTTTGCCTCTAAAGTAAACATACTTATAAAAGTGAGGGAACTGCAGCCCATTCACCAAGATTTCCACCCAACCACATCATTAGTACCTCTCCACAATTATCTGGTGTTCTCTAGCTATGTGGTTTTTCTGCCCTACATTTTGGTCTTTTTAGTCAGAGAAAATTAAAAATAATAGCAAAGAGTTCCCTTCTTGGAGTCCCAATAGTATTATTACATGAGAGAAGATCATCTCTCCTTCAGGAAAATGTTTAAATTAGTTTGCATATAATGCTTCATTTTTAAAAGTCACAGTTTGGAATTAAATATTATTTATTGACTTGAGTGACTGGGTGTTTTTCTATTTTTTTACTGTCTTTTCACTATTTCTAATTACTTTTCATAAAGAAGTCAAGGGTATATGTATTTCAGTGACATGCTACATAAATTTGTACAGTTAGACCTAGAACAAAAAGCATAAGGAAAACCTGCTAACTTACAGAATATATTTTTTTCCCCTTATAATTAAAACAAAGCTTTGTGGTATGATTCCATGCTAAATGTTATCCTTTATGGTATTATGTCATTAACAGAATACAAAGACCCAATAAGTGTAATGAATACCCCTTATAAAAAGTGTTAGAACAATCTTAATAATTAGCCAGGTAGCACACTCTTTTCTCTAGCTGTACATTCAAATATATTCATACCTCCTATCACAGAAAATATTTTATCTCAAAGTATTGCCAAAATCTGCCATTCTATTGTTCTAGCTCTACAGTTCAATACCTTGTCTATGAAGGTTTTAAATACCAGATGCAAATACCAAAGAAACGTGTAAGAATTTCAGCATAGGCATGTGTTGGATAATCATCTGTTGTGTTAGCTTTCATCTTGAATCCTAATCTTTGACAATGGCTTATGCATCAAAACATTTCACTGAGTCCTTTCAAAATGTGTTAGCTTTAGTAGGTGTAAGTCTGAAATTTGTAAATGTAAATGTCCTGGAATGTTTTCAGACCTTGCTGAGTGCTCCAGCTCATTGTCTAGAATACTGCTGCATGGATGTTTCATGGAATCATGGAATCATTAAGGCTTCCAAGATCACCAGGTCCAACTGTCAACAACCAGTGTGCTCACCACAAATTCATGTTTTCAAGTGCCATATCCACACATTTTTTAAACACTTTCAGTAATGATGAGTCCACCATTGCCCTGGACAGCTTGTTCCAATGCATGACAACTCATTCCATGAAGAAATTTTTCCTAATATCCAATCCAAACCTCCTCTGGTGTGACTTGAGCTCACTTCCTCTTGTCTTCTTGCTTCTTACCCAGGAGAAGAAACTGACCTTCATTACAATTTTCTTTCAGGTACTTGCAGGTAACAACAAAGTCTCTCATAACTCTGCTTTTCCTCAGGCTAAACCCCAGTTCCCTGATCCATTCCTTATAAGACTTATGTTCCAGACTCTTGACCATCTTTGTTAACGTTCTTTGAACAAGCTCCAGCACCATTTGCAGCTCCTTTCCAGTTCAGTAGACCTCTTTGTTACTGCTGAAATCTGGGAGGGCTTACTATGTTAAATGTATTACTGTGCTTCTGATTTGTATATAATCCTCATTTAGTTAGACCAAGAAATATTTGCAGATATCCCATATTTTTAATTTCAGTTAGAAGGGACACATTCATCTCACAGAAGAAATTTATATCCATGAGGAAAATCAAAACCCCATTAAAGTCCATTTATAAACAGTCCTATGAAAAGAGCTTGACATATTATGAAATCTCTTCCAAAAGTTAATGCACCTTTTCTGACTAAGACATATCCTATGTGACTTTGTGAAACAGTGATTGCTTTTATGAACAGGATTACTTCATGAAAATAACAAATTCCTTCCAAATAGTCTTAATTATTAAATACGGCACTGGCATGTTTAATCCACATTGATGCATTAAAGGCACATTAATCCACTGAAGTCTTCCTTCCCAATATTTCATTTTATCCTAAGATCTAACTGTACAAATTTAAGTACCTGAATGCTTGATTACTCATATACATTGTAGGAATTGTCAGTACCTTTATACCCTGATAATAGATAAAGTACTATGAAAGTTGTTCATTCTTCTAGAGCTGGAACCTATTAAAAGTACCCGAAAGCTGAACCAGAGAATAGTGCTTTCTATTAAATTCCCAGGAGGAATGACAATTCTATTATTAAATTACCTCATAATTTCTGTTTGAAACCAAGCTCTTGCTGGTCTACATGCACATTTTGTCCTGAGACAGCTTTCTGGATTAATAGGATTTTTTTAAGCAAAACCTGTATTGATAATCACTTAATACTGATCCTTTTATTTCAGTAAGCCTGTTTGCTGCCCTAAAGCAGGTAAATCAAAAGTATCATTTTTATATTTACATACTTGAAAACACAGTAGTAACTTGTATGTCACTGCAGAAGTGTCAGTAAGATAAAGAAATGTAAGCATCTGTGAAATGCTGGCAGAGGGTCACATAAGCTTCATAAAATTCTTCAGGGAAAGATGATGTCTACTGGCTTAGACCTTAGCCCACAAGACTTTATAAATGTGTCTAAAAGCTACTGAAGTCAAAAGGTTTTAAAACACATGCTAACTGTTAATACACATTAGCATCATTTCTGAATTAAAAAAGTTTTCCTGAATAAGGGCCACAGACAGGCTCAGAGCTTCTCTCTGTGACCTGGTATTCCATGTGGTCTGCTTCTAAGTGTTGCCCTGAGGAACTGGAACTGGATATACTACACGATGATTCAACAATCAACATTTTTCCAATTTGTGTTGGTCCTTTCTATTTCCAAGAATGGGTGGTCCCAGCTGGCATTGCCCCAGTGTTAAATAAGGTAAAGGTGCGTCAAAGAGCAAGTCTTAGGAAGATATTACTATTATACTTAGTTGAATGGCTCGTAAAAGCAATTTTCTTGCCAGCAGCAACAACAGTAGCAAGTAACTGGAATTGTTTCATTTCAGAGACTAATGGCAAATAAAAATAAAGACTTCTATGCTCGGAAAACAACAGCCCTGTAAGTTAACAAAAAACAGAATAACTGGTAGCTCACCCTCTAAGTAACAAATACATTTTAAAAATAACCCACATTTCTATCTCAGAGAAATCTTTCTGCTAAATATTTCTCCCTAGCTCAGTTACTGTCTACAGGGATACTACCTTAGGTTTGCTATTTAAAGCTGTTCCAGCAGCTTAGAGCAAAAATATATACATTACAGAGAAGATCTAAGTTAGCAAGTCTACTGAATCTGAACTTAATTGTTTCCTTCAGTTGTAACTGCATTGTTTTATAACATGACCAGCTTTAATCACAGCCCTTCCTGCACCATAGAATAAGCAATAAGGCTTAGCTCTTGATGAACTTTTTCTGTGGCTGATGAACAGGTCAAGTAACTATTGCAAAATAGGATTTAAAGTAAGATTTGAAGCCCCCTTCAAGCTCAAATTCTCCTTTTGGTGCACCACTTTTTGATGTCTACTCTCCTTCCTACTGGCAAAAACTTTTGTAGTGCTTTCATTCTAGAGTAAAATTAATTTATTTTCTTCAAGATTCCTGTCATAAGACTGTAGTAAGCGAACATTTCCATCTGTTTTGGGAGACAAATGATTAAAGATTTGCCAACAATAGAAGTGAGTATGGATACAACACAACCCAGCTCAGTCCCCAGACTTAATACCCATAATCAGGGGGGCAAAGGGCAGAAAAGAAATCAGAACACAAAGCAAAAGCTTGGATATAAATGATCCAGAACCAAGGAACAGATGAGCTAAAATATCATTCCAAGCTTAGTGACTTGATCTCATCCCAGTGTGGACTGAGACTGGGTCCATGACTGCATTGCCTTGTTAAGTGGAAACAGAGCTGTGCCACAGCCCTGTGTGTGCTTTGGGAATAAGAGAATTAATTGTTGCAGGCTTGATAACTTAAATATTAGATGCAGATTGAGCTAGTAAATTCAGACTCCCAGTTTTGAGCAATATGGGAGGTATATGAATCCAACACTGAGTCAGGCCGCAGGCTCTCTTGCTGTTAAGCCAACACTGTACATCTGCCTAGTATGCATTTCCAAATTCTATACATAATGGCTCTCTCTCTCCATATATTGCTAGTTCTGAAAAACATTCTCCCCACCAGCTTCTTATTCTTTCCATCTTCTTCTTACTCCTTTGATGGTTTTTTATTTTTCCCTTGTTTTGGATTTTTTTTTCTGCACTTTGATTTGCACTTTTTCTGCATGGCCCCTTATTGCTCATTCTTTTTTATTATCTTTATTATTTTACTCTTCCTTTACACAGGTTGGCTGCCATAACTGTGTGGGAAATGATTGGAAATATCCAGCAATCTAGTAAATAGAAAAAAATGACTGAGTCCTTTTTATCTAGAACACAAAGAATGCCTGCAATTCCTTTTATATCAAGTGCTAAAGAGATGCTTTGCATCTTTAGGAATCAGCCTTTCTGTATCCTGAACTTCACTGAGCTCACAATGTGCACTAGCAACAATAGCAAGAATGGAAAAGGTAAATAAAAATAGTTCTGGGTGAAACTTATAGCAAAAAAGCAGGCTCCACAT